GTCTGTATTGTTGGATGTTCAGTATCGGAAAACTGGCACATTTTTTGTTCTGTCCTTTGTCGATCATACACAAATTTACTGCATCAAGATTTTTTTTTTCCAGTCTTAATAAATGTGAATAAATGAAGAATCCAAGATGTGTATGTTACAATGCCTCGTTTCCCATGTCTTTAACATGATCCCAGTGTCAACCTGTCAGAGGTCGGTTGCAGCTGCATTTGTAGCTTTTTTTTAACGTGTACACACTCAAAGATTTAAAACCAGTATTATAGAATGAGTCCTATCATGTGGTGTTTAAATTCCTCAGCTTCACCTCATGACAAAGCACCAGTCAACTGAGTGCTGTGATCATTTTCCATAATGGACCGCTGATGTCACGGCAGCCTGTGTTCAGCCCATTATAGCTGTTCTTCGTCTGTGTGAATTCCTCATGTGATTATTGAATGAACTCTGTGTAACTTATAGAATTTAACGCCCCCGCTGTGATTTATGTCTGATCCCCTCTTCAGCCACAGTGTTCCTGGAGTTCTGGAAAAGGAGGAGGGCGCAGCTGACTTATGACTGGGACCTCATTGATTGGGAAGAGGAAGAGGTGTGTCTGCAGTATCTTCAAATAGAGCTGATACAATTTGATGACCTCACATACATCACATTTTCTCATTTGGATGCTGCCTTTATGACAGAACCAGTTATTGCTGCACTGGACTGATTCAGTAAAATAGTTCACGCTGAAATGTGTGATGTTCCTCAGGAGGAGCTGAGGCCTCAGTTTGAAGCCAAGTACTCCAGGGTGGAGAGAGTCAACCCCATCTCTGGCCGACCAGAGCCTTTCCAGCCTTTCTCAGACAAACTGAGCCGGCTCTTGGTGTCTGTGTCCGGGATTTTTTTCATGGTAAACCCTCTGTTCTTTAAATAACCTCCCCTCATAATAATTAACTCTTAGTTATTCTGTGTGCCACAGTTACTGTTGATTTAGTCACAGTGAAATATCACCTCCTACTGGACAAGGGCTGAATTGATCAAATAATACTGAATCCAGCTTGTTTTTCTAGTCATTTGAAATAAATAACTATGAATGTGTGAATCTGTTTTTGTGTAGTAGTTAGATGTTACAGTAGATTTCCTTCTTTTTTCTCCACAGTTCTTCATTGGAACATGAGTATCTCTGACACACAGTCATTATTTATTATTTTGTCCCGGTGCAGATTTCTCTCGTCCTGACTGCTGTGTTTGCTGTGGTGGTTTTTCGCCTTATTGTGATGGAAAAGTTTGCCTCCTTTAACTGGAAGTTTGTGAAGAAGAACTGGCAGTTTGCAACATCTGGCACCGGTGTCTGTATCAACTTTATGATCATCATGTCTCTCAATGTGGTGAGTGAAGATAAAAGCCCCCTCATTTACCTCCTTGAAGGGTGGTTTATTGGCTTGCCTTACAGCAAAACAAATCATGGCTTCGTACCCGGGGATAACTGAATATCTTTCTGTATGGAACATGCATGTTGGTGTGTTCTCCAGGTACTCTGATTTCCTCCAACAGTTCAAAAACATACAGGATTAGATGAAGGGCTTTCTATATAGGTAAAGAAGAAAGAGGAGAGAAGGCAAGCAGAGAGTAGAAGATAAGATGAAAGAGTAGGAGCGGGCAGGAGAGGGGAAGAACTGACAGGAGAGGAGAAGGATAGAAAAGGAGAGGGGTGTAAAGGAGGAGGAGAGGGGAAAATACTTGTTTTATTACCCTCCTCCATCATCCTCTTATTCTATTACAGTGGCTGCACATAAACTAATATATGAATTGTTCTAGAGTTGACTTATTAAATTCACCAGATATCTTTTATATTCAAATACTATAAAGACCTGGAAATATATGTATTTTATTACTTTTGCTTGTTTTATCTGTATTTGTTACTTCTCCCAACCACATTTTACTATCTTGGTACCAGGTGTATGAAAAGGTGGCCTATCTGCTGACTAATTTAGGTGAGTTTTGTTCTCATTTTTGAGGGATAAAAAACATTTATTATCTCTGTCTCTTGGAACAGTTTGAAACTCTTTATCTTCTCTTTACTCCTTCTCCCACCCTTCATCCCTAACTCACCCCACTTCAGAGCATCCGAGGACAGAGTCAGAGTGGGAGAACAGCTTTGCTCTGAAGATGTTTCTGTTCCAGTTTGTTAATTTAAACAGCTCCACATTTTACATCGCCTTTTTTCTCGGAAGGTACATGGCCTCGAGTGAAACTGAAGTTCCTGTTTATAGAGAATTGAATGAGTGATGACACCAAGATGTTTTATCTCAAACTCCCTAACTTGACATCCTCCCTTCCACCCTCACTTCCTCCCTCCCTCATTCCTTGTCCTTTCTCACTCAGTTGTTATTTTTGGATCTTGTTTGAGCATTTAAAAATACTGACCCATCTAAGCTGCTGCTGTTAGTACATCATTAGCAGATTTATGTCTTGTTTTTGCAGCTAATGTTGTTATTCTTACTCGTTTCAGGTTTGCTGGCAGGCCTGGAAAATACAATAAACTGTTTAATCGATGGAGACTGGAGGAGGTGAGTCCGATCAGTCGTCAACATCAGTGTTTTTATATATGTATGTATGTATATATGTGTATATATGTGTGTGTGTGTGTGTGTGTGTGTGTGTGTGTGTGTGTGTATACAGTATATATACTGTATATATTTCCCATCTAATCAACTGGGATTTTTAAACAACATGGTGTAACGTGTTACAGAATAGTTCATTGGCTCCAAGTTCAGAGATTCATTTCTGTCACTGAAATGGATTTTTCCCCAGTGTCACCCGAGCGGCTGTTTGATTGATCTGTGCCTGCAAATGGGAGTCATCATGTTCTTCAAACAAATATGGAACAACTTCATGGAACTCGGCTATCCGTGAGTAATGTCATTATTATCACATGCTTCTTTCCTTCCGTTAGAATTGGCATTATTCATTTTTTATAATTCAGATTGAAACACACCATGTATTAATATTATACTGTACTGTGTATGCATGGTGTCTCGTTTTTCTTTCAGTCTATTACCATATGAAAAGGCATTCTTTCTTCCAGCAGAAATGTGTGGAATCCTCCTCTGTGTGTGTTTGGGGGGGTGGGTTGGTAAGAGGTTCCTCCATTGCACTGTATTGTCAGAAATAATTGCTTGAGTTGACAGTTAGCAATTTGCCGTATTCACAGTTTGCTGCAGAACTGGTGGTCTCGGAGGAAGATAAAGAAAGGAGGTGGAGGAGGGCAGAATGTAGAGAACAAAACCCAGCTTCCTCAGTGGGACAAAGACTGGAATCTGCAGCCAATGAATGCCCACGGATTAGTGGATGAGTATCTTGAAATGGGTAAACCATTACTGTCATCCAATTGGTGGATATTGTTCAGTCTTTACTGTTGATTTTGCCAGTGATGATTCTCCTTCCTGTGCAGTCCTCCAGTTTGGTTTCACCACCATCTTCGTAGCAGCGTTCCCTCTGGCTCCTCTCCTCGCTCTTCTCAACAACATCATTGAGATCCGTCTTGATGCCTACAAGTTTGTCACTCAGTGGAGGAGACCCATGCCTGCCCGCGCTACTGACATTGGTCGGTGTCATCTCTGTTTACTTTCACACTTCAAACGCTCACTGTGTTTTCCATCCCAAATACAAATTAAAATACATTTGACCTGATTGAGTTTTACAATCTGGACCGTCTCCTCTGCTACTTTCTGTTAATTGTAGCATTTTCTATTAACTGAAACTAAGCCCCCCATTAAACCACAAGCTATTTTCCATTTTATGTCTGTATGTATGTGTCCATATCCTGTGTCTGTGCTGCCATATGCTGAGCTCTCTCACCCCCACCCCCGTGACTGCTGGCATCACCCGTAAACCACTATGAACACATGCTTTGTGCTGCATTTAACCCTGTACTTAATCTGTAAAACGTGGAAATATTACTCTGACATTCTGGTTTTATTAAGAAGAAAATGTTTTTTTTTTTTAGTTTATTAACTGCCAAGAAAATGTAGATGAATGTATGAGTACAGTTTATAGACATGCAAGACTCACTGATGTGTATTCCATTATATTATAAGCAATTTAGCTAATTGTGCTGTCTCCTAAATTATGGCCGCCAGGAATCTGGCATGGGATTCTGGAAGGTATAGGCGTTCTGGCAGTCATCACCAACGCCTTTGTCATCGCCATCACCTCTGACTACATCCCTCGCTTCGTTTACGCCTTCAAATATGGCCCGTGTGTGGACAATGGACCCCATCATCGGGATGAGTAAGCGTCCAGAGTAATCTATGAGCGGTGAGTATCTTTAGCTGAACGTCTTGTTTTGGTCTGATGGTTTGTTTTTCTTCCACTCCCAGGTGTTTGCAAGGCTACGTGAACAGCAGCCTGTCTGTGTTTGAGATGGACGAGATAATGAACAGCAGCCAGTCCAGATACTGCAGGTACAGAGACTACAGAGCGCCGCCCTGGAACGCGGTACCGTATGAGTTCACCCTGCAGTTCTGGCACGTCCTGGCTGCCAGGCTTGCCTTCATTATCGTCTTTGAGGTCTGTCAACTCTCCACATTTTTTTCTCTTTTCTTTTTGTCTGTTTGCCAGCAAAGCACAGAGCTAAACCTTAGTCCTCCTCCACTTTGTGTAACTGTAGAAACAAAACTCTTTTTAATGTTTTATGCTGCTTTGTGCTATTATAGTCAAACGATAACTTTACAAGCCCCACTAAATTGGATCATGGTAACAGTTGGTTAAAGGATTTCACCCAAAACCCACAGAATAAACCCAAATTACACGGTTGACCCGCTAAAAAAAGAACCACGTTCTGGCTGTTCTCATGAAAAGCTCATTTGACATCTGACAGCCTTGCCCTGTGTGACTGTGTCAGATGTCACAAAGCTGACATTGTCTGCTGTTGGGTCTGACCTATCATCAAAAAACAGCAAATACGTGTCAATTGTCATTGCTCACAATTTCTTCACATTTGTCTTACTGATTTTATTGTCTTCCAAAAAACACAGAACTGGAAAAAAACACAGAACTGAAAAAGAAAAACATAATAATAATAACCAAAATAATAATAAAATAGCTAGGATTTGTATAGCTCCTTTCAGGATACCCAAGGTACTTTATATGAGCATGGGCAGGGGCTTAGTGGTGGGGTTAAAAAAAAGTGTTCACGTTGCTTTCACCAATACTGGGTCTTAAGGTCGATATTGCTTGAAAATGTAGATTAAAGAGTGGAGAAGCCTTTTATTTAGGATTTCCCGATTTAAAGTGGATAACCTGTTTAAGATAGTTTAAAGATAAGGAGAAAATGAACCATTCTGAAGACACTATATTTATTAGAGTAAATACTGTTTACAGCTAAATGTTTTAGTTGATGAACCTTAATAATTAAATTATATAAAAAATGTGTTTTTGGTAAAAATGTCGAATGTTTCCCTCAGCACCTGGTGTTTGGGATCAAGTCCTTCATAGCATACCTCATCCCAGACATTCCTAAGGGCCTGTGTGATCGCATGAGGAGGGAAAAGTATCTGATGCAGGAGATGATGTATGAAGCAGAACTAGAGCATCTACAGAAGGAGAGGAAAAAGAACGGACGACGTTATCACCATGAGTGGCCTTAGTTCTACCGTACGTCTTCACCACATGTGTCCAAACTCACAGGCGCGGCCTCCACTGCCTGCTCTCTGTATGTCTTTAAGCTTTGAGAGTCAAGCTCCACTCGGCTGATTCTGTACACCAAAGACAAACCTTCCCAGTGACCAGATCCACCCAGAAGCCTGTTTGGCTCCGTCTCAAGCCCCAACCCTGACCACTTCCTCTTCATCTGTTCCGCATCCAATTTTGGCTCTTTTCTGTGTCTTGGCTCGGTCCTTCTCTGCCCCGCCCTGATCTGTCACCTGGCAGCGTCCAGTGGGCGGCCCTCGACTCTCTGCCGCGTAATGGCTTTATTGGGAAAATCTCGGCAAATGCAATGTTTACTATGCAGATCAAGGGCTGCATAACTCCACTCTCCCCCTGATACTTCTTCTCTCCATGGCAGCTATCCTTCTGCTCTGGTGCAGTCTGGTGCAGCCCACAGATTGGCCCTGTGTTTCTACCACCAATGACAGCGGAGCCACTGGTTGGGAAACAGAGCTGCTGTGGCACTTAAGGTTTCCCTGTCGCAAAAGTGGTTCTAGTATTGTGGCTACCCAAAAAGAAAAAAAAAAGACAGATTTTTCAAAGCAGCTGTATCTTGCCCTTGAAGCATGCAGTTAAAAATCTGCTACCATTTTATAAACTGCAAAGCCAAAATCAACAGGAAAAAAAGCACTGATTGTTGTTTAGAATATTTACGTTTAGTCAATTCATGTGCAGTTCTGTGTGAAACGCCACATGGACTCATTGTTCCGTGTGTTTTCGGATCGCTGTCCTAACGCCTGGTTCACGTTCTCATTGTATGTGTGTGTGTGTGTGTGCGCGTATGTGTGCGTAGGTGTGTGTGTGTGCTAATCTCAGTGTTGAGTTGAGTCAATGTGAACTGGACTTGATTGTGCCTACAGTTGTGCGCACCACAATTGTGTCACCATAATCACGTGTGCCTGTTCGTGCTGCACATGCTTTTTTTAATTGCAAGAATTACCGTTTTCTCTCTCGCTCGCTCTCTCTCTCTCTCCAAATCTGCTCTTCCGCTCTGTGCTCAAAGCATGTTTTTCATTTGCTGCTGGAAACATTCAGCGTGGTTGAATTTTGGATCACGCTAACATACCTGTGGCTTGGATTTTTGGTTGACTAAAAAAGCATCTATCCACTGTTCCTCGCTCGAACATTCTTCACTGTTGGGATATCACTCAGCAGATGTGGTTTTTAGTTCATTTTCAAACATTTTAATACAATGAATGTGATCCACTACCTTCAGTCACTGTCTTGTAAAATTCTCAGGAAATGAGGCAGCGTGAGCCACGCATCCTTCTGAGGCTGAATCATATTCATTTCCTGCTTCGTTTATTTCACCATGAGAAGTCAAAAGAGACATCAGGAAAATCCAAGTGAGGTTTAGAGGTTGATGGAAACTCTCTAAACTCACATTTCTCATTAGAATAATTCTGTGGGTTTAGTTACAGTTTTCATTCCCTGAAAAGTTTGTACAGTTTCGTAAAGTACTAAGTCATCCATCACTGGGTATTTACAGAGCCAAGGACGTAGAAAGAATTGATTGTGTTTTCACCAAACAACTGGACTCTTTTTATTGATTTGTTGATGGAATTCACAAATTAGAAATGGATGTCTCATAACATTTTTTAAAAGAAGTGGGCCATGGTCTGTGTACTAGGCCTATTTGGTGTACTGGCCTGCCTGCACTCCAGATTTGTCTCCTACTGAAAATGTCTTGCTGTTGTTGTGCAGCTTGACACAGTAAGACTGGGGAAATGAACTGATTAACTGATTTATTCTCTCGGTTTCCAAAAGTTATAATAAATAAATTAACCTAGTTTATGTGTAAAACTAGTATAATTTTAATTATAATAATTATATATGTAATATATAATTCACTGCATTAGTTAACTACTAATATAGTGAATATACCGAAAATCTATTCTACGTCTATGTGAGAAACATGTCTGAGGTTATTACTGTAGTATTTAATAGGGAGTGTACCAACTTTTCTTTAAGGGTAAATAATGAGATTTGACCTCATTATGGAGAGAAGTTATTCTGTTACCAACAGAAGAAAGGGAAAACACTGTTTAATGCACTTAACAACACTTAGAAACCTAGTTTTTATTTTTTTTATGATCTTTGAATGACCATTGAATTTTAAATTATTATTCCCTGTATGTACACTTCATTGGATTATGTGTGAACTGTTTTTATATGGTTCATTTATTACGTCTGACTTCACCTGTTTTCGGGTGAAAAGACCAACAATCACATTTCTCAGGTTTCATTCAATGTTTGCAATATATCAGTAACATATATAGTTCCATTATATATTAACCCATATTTTGCTTTTAAAAAAATATATAAACCTGTGTTTGCACCGCAGTGCACTGCATGACTATAAACACACTCATTTAAAGCATGTTTGACGTTCTTTTTGCCCAGTGAGAGCAGTTAAATGTGGTTTCAAATCACAAGTACAGTCGCACATCCCCGTTTTGGAACAGTAGGCCGGATAATGATTTAATTCATAAATGATATATTTGTCTTATCTGTCCACACATTTGTAAACATCTCATGAAGAAGAGAGGAAAATTCCTTTGAAAATAATTTAGTAAATAGTTTTAGTGCAGTTTTTTCTAAGAATCTTATGTGCTCTGTGAACATTGGAAATCTATGCATGTTGCTACCTTTCTGTTGAACAGAGGCAGATGTAAATGTGCACTTGTACTGTAGTGTATGATGCATGGCCCTTACCTGCTTGGTGCAGCGCTAATTTATGTAAAAACTTGTGAACTATGTCCTAAACATATCACCTCCCGTTCTCAAGGTCTGTCAGTTTGGAGGCTCTGGAATTTGGAAGTTGAAGAATTTTTTACTGAATGTCGAGTAGTTCTTGTGCACCCCACTGGTAAATGGGACTTGGACTGAATTTGAATGAGACTGGACAACATGCAGGATGTTTTTTTTAATTATTTGTTTGTTTTTTGCACAGTGGAAATGAGACTTAGTTTTACTTTGCAGGAGCTGAGGTGCTTTCCATGATGGCAGGAGGTTTGCTAATGTTGTGAACGGTAATGTGACCTCGGAGGCTTAACTTTCACTGCTACTAATCATTCCTGGATGGATGTCTTTTCTCTATCTTCTCTCTGGGAGCATTATTCATGTGCTCATTAATCCAAATGCTGCACATTGGTGGATAGGTGTTCCTCAGGCCTCCTGCTGTTGGCAATAGCATGGATATTGTCTAATGAGTAATGATGGCATGACCCTGCACATCCCTGAAAACATATTAGTCTCAAGAGGACGAAGCGTTCGGTTCTACGCTCTCCCTCCTGATTGGATTGTGGGTTTGAGAGCAAGCTGCACTTGCTTTGGAAGCACAACATCATGTTAGGATTCACGTGTACCATAGGACAGCAGTAAGGGGTGGGAGGCATGAGGTGTATCAGCAACATTGTTTACTTTGTTCCTGTTTACATGTAAAATGAAATGTATAAACAAAAAAAATATAATAAAATAATTTGGATATCACTTTCTCTGATAAATCATGGATTGCGACTTCTCAAACATGAAACGACGCTCCTCATTTTTCACCTTGTGGGTTTTCAAAGTTGTGAAATAACAGAGAGGATGATCTCACCATCATCATTATCATCAGGCTCCACTGAACAACATGTGCAACATCAAAACTGAACAGCTGTGACAAAGGCACTGATTTAATGGCTGTTTTGAAATTTTAAAAGTTTTTCTCCCCATTTTTTCAAACTAATGTAATAATTTTTGCAATGAATCATTGACCTTGGCCCTAAATACAGAATTCAGAGTTCAGTTCTTTGTTGGTCAGTAAAAGGCACAAATGTGTATCCAACGTAGTGTTTTAAATACTTAAATACTTAGATCAAAGCCCCAAATGAATGGAGATATAAAACAGACAGCCTCTATTACACATACATGCATTGTATTGAATGGGATTATGTATTTTTTATTAAATTGGGTCAAGAGTGACGAAGCTGTTCAATAAACTCAAATTAACCAATATTTTCACTAACAGCCTGCAGTACCTTGACAGACCTCCTGGGGGTCATACATTCTTTGTTGTAGAAATCTTTCTTTTAATCTTTAATCTTTTTAAACACTGTCATAGGTAACACGTTTAGTAGACAAGTTCATTAGGTTTCTGAAATGAAAATATTGGCCCATAGTACTGTGTCAGTAATATTGTCATTTCTTGTCCAGTGTCGGTCATAAAACTAGGTGTGGATTTCAGTTTGACAGTTTTACTAGTACTGGAGATGATGATAGATGTCAATTACAAATGTTGACAACCGTATGGAATGGAACCCTGACGTAGTGTTTGTAGTAGATCCATTGTACATTGTGAATTCATCAATGCCCTGAACTGAACTGTACTCAAACAGCACAGTGAGTGTGTTGACCTGTACCTACGTCACATCAATCCTCAGAAATAAGCAGCAGTGTGCAGAAAAACCTTTTTTCATTTTCTATACTCACAAACCACGAATGGTTTCAAGAGTCCTCGTAATAACATATTCTTAAGATCGTGTTTCCGTGAACCCCTTTACTCTGTGTGTCTGTGATTTTCTCCCTGCCGCTGCTGAACAGACTTCTCTCCTAATTACTTTTCCATCCATGTCATGTCACTCAGCGCAAGTTTAATTTTGTGCAGTGAAATGTAAACACTCAGATAGAAGAAATATGGACATATCTGGTTCATTTTAAGCCATGATGACAGACATTTAATACTTCAATTATTTCCCGTGTCCTTGTCCTTGTCCTTCTGTTGGATGCCAACACAGCAATGTTCCATTTCACTCCAGTAACCAGCATACATTTGCTGGCCTCGCAGGCTGTGGTTTCACAATTTCAACACAGTCATTTCCACAGTGAGATTCAATTTATGAGTCTACTGTATGTCATGTGGTGCTACTGCTCAGCATCAGACATGGGTCGTGTTTCCTGGAAAACACTTTAGAGAGAAGTAGTGCTTTTAAAAAACTGTTAAAACGACTGCCTCTAGAAAAGACTGATAGCTGCTGTCTAAACTTGAGGGAAACTTTAACAGTTGGGCAACTGTAAGCTGAATACTGACATGTTATTATCACCAATCTGAAATGTCATGAACTGCTCATCCTTTCAGACCACAGTAGACACGACAAATGAACACTCTAATGTCAAGGGCTTGATCCAATTTTGTGAATAGTAAGCTAAAAGTCTCTGTTTAAATCACCCTAAACACAAAGGTAGATAACAACTTTATAATTAAATAAATTGAAAACTCTAGCGAGACGACACCCAAGTGATTCTGCTGTGATAATTAAATAGACAGAAGTGAAACAAGGATAAATAAACGTACTCCTATAACGCTGCAACACTTAAACTGTTTGTTATCGATTTATAGTGAAGTAGAATAAAGTTTGTCAGTGAAAATACTGCATCTGCTCTGATACACTGAGATAGCAGAGAAGAATGCATTATGTAAAAAATGAATGCGCAGCAACTTTTCTTCCCAGTATGAGATGCACTGGATCAGCAGCAATTGAATCCAAATTCCAGCAGCAAATAGCAGCACCGGGGCACCGCAATTAACCCTGTGGGTTCGTCCACCAATAAAACATGTACTGTGTTATTCACATTTTGTGCGTAGCAGTTTACCACAGCGGACATAATGCTGGCCTCATGTATCCACCGTTTTAATGACTGTTCCTCTGTCCTGCACAGAACTGAACTGCAGACGCCTCTGTTCTCCACCGGCAGCCTCAGGTGACCGTTGTTATTCATGCAGCACAGATTTACAGTTCAGGTTAGGAAGGTAATCAGTGGACCCACGGAGACTGTGGCTGTAAATTCAACAGTAACGAGTTTAGAGGGAGGGGGAACTGAGGAGGACCGGGGAGAGGACGGAGGAGTCACGACACTGCCTACTGCAAATCATTGGAAAAAAACGCTAACGATTTTGATAATATCCCGACTTTACCTCGGGACCCGGTTTCTGGTTCAACTTGTCGTTTGTTGTGGGGTTTTTTTCAGCACTTTGTCCGCCGTCCTAATTCACTGCAGAGACACTAACACCAACTCATTATGAAAAGCCTGTGTGAAAGAACAGTGTATCTCTTATCAAGTCATTGTCTGAAGGTTTTACTGGCTGCGTTGTATCCTCCCTTTATTTTATCTCAGGTTTCATGTTCTGTTGTGTTTCACGTGTTTTTGTGCCTGGAATTACAGCAGAAGCTGTGGTGAAGTTCAGCTATTACTCATGAGCAGCCGTGACAAGATGAGTTGACCTGAGTGAAGTGTCCTTTGCTGAGAACTAGTGACCTCAAATTACTGGATGGATGAATGGAATGACCCCAGGAAGACAGGGTCGAGGAGGGAAAAAATACTGCTGTCAAGCCCCCCCACCCATCCCCTTTATTAACGCTATTAAATGAGTGTGTCTAGCACTGGCCCGTGAACAAGAAAACACACGGTACTGTACATTATTTGTCACGAGATTCATTTAATAGTGTATTCACTTAGAGTGTAAGATCAGAGGAGAGACACAGACTGTCATCACTCTGTGATGTGCTAATACTGCCGTGTCAAAGACAAGGCTGGAGGTTACTTGTCATCAACACTGACCCATTTGTCCCTGGCTGTCAGAGACATAATGGAAAACCCACCCTGCTTCTGACTATTGCCTCTTCTGTAACAAATTACAGCAGTAAAGTCATGGTTTCCTACAAGGTCGTTAGACTTGAATGTTTGTGCAAGAGAATAACACACAAAAGTGAGAGTTGGAAGTCAAACATTCATGCCGTTTAAAGTTATAAAAATATATTAATTTCCTCCAGTCAGTGAGCTTATGAGTGATGAGCATGACTGCTGTGATATTTTTTAGATCCTGATCCTTGACCTTTAGTTCACCCCACAGATTTCCTCCAATTTAATTCAAGGCTTTGAGTAGGTCTGTCAGTAGGATTCACACTGACCTTCTAAGAAGTCCACTAGTGGTGGCCATCAGGATTCACTGTGAGTCAGACACTCAGCCAGTTGCTCCATCAGCAGTAGCATCTGAAAGGCTGTCCAACAATACAACACACAAACAGCAGATCAACAAGAACATCCCTAACATCACCAGCAGTTCCCTTTGTGGTTGAATCTGTTGCTTCCAGGCAGTTTTCTCCTACTGCGTGGCGTTCAGTCCTGGCCCGTTGGTCATTGTTTATGCTGAGAGACACTTTATTTATTCAGGTGTATGACTAATACAGAAAAGAGATAGAGCCAGAAGGCCAGGGAGCCTGAAACTGTCTTTGTTTGTATTATTTATGAAGTCATTGTTTACACCAGTTCAGCAGTTGATTCCAAACAAACAACTCTTTGTCTTTTTTTTTTAAGACTTACTCTTGTGACGTTATTTCAAAATTAATTAATACCAAACATGCAAATGCTTAGCATTTCACACTTGTCTAACAGAAAATTACAACCTCTAAGTTACACCGTGCGCCTTGACAGCACAGCTGTCCTACAGATGCTGACTTTTTAAAACGCTGACCCTTCGCTAACATCTTCAATATCTCTCGTGAAGTCGTATTTCTTAACTTAGGAACATTAAATGTTGCATATGTTATGGGTTTGGGTTTTAAGTTTCCCTCAGCACATTGTTCAAGTTCAGATGAGGCCAGGAGTTTCTGCCGATGCAGCTATTTCTCTCTGATTTCCCAATGTCCTGCAGACAAACTCCAACACAACCGACTGTAACGGAGCATACTTTTATGAAATCTCCGGTTCATGGAGAAGAGGAATTAAACTTAGTAGGAAATTTTATAGAGAGATGGACTATGGTTTATCAGACGGAGCTGATGATCAACTGTCTAAACAGTTTACATTATGACTGCAAGAGAGCAACAACACAGACCAGAGAAACAAAAGAAAGACAGGCCTCATAAAGCTACGATTTCAGACTGAATTTCAAAACAGTCAGCGGGGGGAAGAGGCAGGCTCTGACCTTGAGCTAAACACAGCTGAGAGCAGCTGTTCGACAGCTCCGAGTGTCACAGCGAGGGCTTGTGTCTGTTAAAGATTTTGTGTTGAACATATGAAAAGGAAACAATAATGTAAAATGTTTTCTTAATTATTATTATTTTATATTATCAATGTGTTTGTGTGACTATGTTTTTGATGTTTGGATAGAATAGAATAGTCTTTATTGTCATTGTAACATGGGGTACAATGAAATTGAGGATGGAGGGATTTTAATTAAATTAATTAATATATATGTACATACCGCCTTTCTCTCAGGCCTTTCTCTCAGGCCTTTCTCTCAG